TCCAATGTGGGAGCTAATATAGCCCTATCCTTCAAATAACTCGGATCGTCAGTTGAGTTCTTGAACATTGGATATGTACTTTCTACAATCGTAGCAATTGGATCATCAGAGGGATCTAGTCTTATATCATCTGGAATTTCGATTGCGGAACAACCATCATTTGATCCTCCTATAGTACCATCTCCAATACTTGCAATCCAATCCGCAAATGCAGCCACCTCGTCACGCTCATCCATATCGGAAATACTCTGAAAGACGCATGTTTTTCGTAAGTCGGAGCACAGTACAGTCCCTCCAAATGCTGGATGCATTAATAGTCGCATTCACAATGTCCTGGCGACTCCCCTTTGGAATGACTGGAAGGATCTGTCAAAAATCTCCACCAAAGACAATCGGCTTACCTCCGAAGGGCTTGCTTTTATTCGAAGGGTCTACTACACCCATTACACCCTGCAGTGATGTTTGAACTGCCTCAAAGCAATGTTTGTGCATCATAGACGCCTCGTCCCATATGATTAGAGAGCATCTCATTATTAGCTCCGCAAGAGGACTTGCCTGATTGATATCACAAGAAGAATTTTCATGAATACTAATCGGTATTCGAAATCGAGAATGTGCAGTTCTTCCACCAGGTAACAAAAGCGATGCAATTCCACTCGATGCCACATTTAAAACAATTTTACCTTTCGACCTCAACGCCGCAGACAAAGTCCTCCACAAGTATGTCTTTCCAGTACCACCATAACCGCATACAAAAAATACTCCACCAGCACCTGAATCAACAGCGAACATAATTCTTGAATAAACTCCTTTTTGTTCACCAGTCATTCTCCCAAGAAGTGTTTCGTGTTCCATAGCAAGTGCCTTACGATCATAATTAAGCTCATCCAATATAAGGCGGTTTGAAGTGTTATGCATACTTTCACTGTTCGGATAAGGCATGCATGAATATTCACGAAGACTTGAGCCGCGAATTCGCATAAGAGTCTCAATTTCAGCAAGGGTGAGATTCTTGATAGCATCTTCACCGAGCCGCAAATCTAGATGTCGACAAATACAATAAATTTCAGAAGCAATGGTTACACAATATAATAGTTGATAGTTTGTATTTGTTATGTACAAAATAATTATCTTTATACATTGAATAAAAAATTTAAATATATAAAAAAAGAATACTTACCATCGTTATTGAACAATTGTCGCTGCCTGTATAGAATATCGTCAGATAATAATATCCAACATTGTTGCCATACGTCATCAGGTCTACTCAAAGAACCAGAAATCAACAACGACGCAAACAT